CTGCCGCGCGGGCCCGACCGCATTCGGTGAGGGCTGCAGGAAGATTGCAGACCCAAAGCTGCTGGATGCGCAGAGGCAGGAGGTCAATGTGGGCTCCGTCGCGACGGTCTCGATGGTGGTCGGCGGCGACAACGAGCAGATGAAGTTGCTGAAGGCGGAATCCAGGCTCGGGGGCACGATGTCGAAGCCGATCCTCTCGCTGCTCGTGGTGATGGACAAGGGTGCCGAGTTCTGGCTGAGCGCGAGGACGGGCATGTGCACGTACCCTGGCGGCGACCTCAGCAAGGGCATCCCGCTCATGAGAAGGAACCACGCGTTGGGCTTCGAGGCGAATACATGTGGGGCGACGGTGGGGGCGAATGAGTTTGCGGCCAGCGTGGCCCCCAACGAGCAGCAGGAGGAGGACTTCGTGCCGTCGCCAGGAGCCTCGGGCAGCGGCGGACCAGTTGTGGCGGCCCCGCCTGGGCCAGCAGCCGCAGCGGCACCAGCTGCGCCAGCGGCAGACCCAGCAGGAGGTGGAGAACGAGTTGGGCGACAACCAGTTCTGCGTGCGGGCGAGGCAGGCTCAGAGAGCTGAGAGCGCCGGCCTACGGCAGGAAGGGCGAGCTGCGGGCCAGATTCAGCGACGCGGAGCGGAGGCACACGGCGCAGCATAATAAGATGAAGGAGTTGGAGCGCAGGCGTGAGGAGTCCGCGCAGGGGGGGCCCGCGGTCGCACCGCGAGAGGTTGCGGGGCCTGAGGCGCCATCGGACGCGGATCGTGCAGCTTGTGATCTTTTGCGCTTCGCGCGCGCGCCTGGTGCGAGGCCTGCGTGCGCGGCAACGAGGCGACCGAGCCGCGCGGGGCGCTCAACTTCGACCGGAAAGACACTGGGAAAGGTCCAGATCACCTTGGATTTCTGCTACCTGAAGAACAACGGGGACTGGGCGGACATCAGAGACGAGGAGCCACCCGCGGCTGACATCCTCGCGACGGCGCTCGTGATGACCGACAGGGGGACGCTGATGTTCAACGCGGTCTCGATGCCGACGAAGGCGGTCACGGACTTCGCGGTGGCCAGCGTGGGCAGCTTCATCGAGAGCGTGCACCTCGCGACGGCGGACATTAAGACGGACGGCGAGCCCGCCATCTTGAACCTAGTGGAGGAGCTGCGCAAGAAGCTGAGCAAGAGCGTCAAACTGGAGGAGAGACGCGGAAACCTGAAGGGCAGTCAGAGCATGGGCGCGATCGAGGCCCCGATCAGATGGTTCCAAGCGAAGGTGAGGACGTGCAAGTTCGATCTGGAGAAGCGTTACGGCATGAAGATCACAGCGGACGAACCCATCTGGTGTTGGTTGACGCGCTACGCGAGCGGTGCGACTTCGACCTACAGACCGCGGGCCGATGGGGTGACGTCCCATCGATCAACATTCGGAGTGACCTACAACGGCGAGATTCTTCCATTCGCGGAGACTGCGCCCTTCAAGATACCGACCTCCCACGCGAGGCAGATCGCGGCGACGCCCTTGAAGCGCAAGGGCGAGTCGAACTTCGTGAAGGGCATTTGAATCGGGAAGCACAAGGAGAGCGACGATCACCTGTTCCTGATGCCGGCGGGCTGGCATCGGGCCAGGACCTGCAGGAGGGTGGGGCCAGCGCTGCGTGCTGACACGAGGCTGCTGAAGGCTGTGAAGGCGCTGCCGCGGGGGGCGAGGGGCCCTGGGCCCTGCGAGCTGCAGCCGCGGATGCAGCGACCTCTGCCCATGGTTGTCCTGACGGCGGCAGGGCAGAAAGCGGAGGCAGAGGCAAGGGCAGCGGCGGCGCCAGGGGCACCGCAGCAGGGGGCGCCCGAGCAGGGGGCGCAGCCGGCAGCGGGAGGCGAAGAGGGATCACCACCAGCACCAGCAGGACCAGGAGTGGGGGCGGCAGCAGCAGGCAGACCCCACGATGAGAACGCGATGGAGGAGGCACCTATGACGCCAAGAGGACAGACGACACCTGCCGAGGGTGAGGACTTCGGCGCGCCTGGGAAGCGAGCGAGGCACGTGGAGGCGATCTCGGTAGACGACCCGATCGGCTACAGTATCCTGGACGGCATGGGCGCGGCATCCTACGTCGCGACCAGCGGCCTGGATCCCGCAGTGGAGCTCATGGGGAAGCGCGACGCGCTGGAGGTGCTGGCGCACTGCGGCGTGCACAAGGACATCCCGAGGGGCGAGAGCAGGAAGTTCAAGATGATCAAGGCGCGCTGGGAGCCGCAGATGCGTGGTGGCGTCTGCACGTGGAGGTGCGTGGCCCAGGAGTTCAAGTGGATGGAGCAGCGAAGCGACGTGTTCGCGGCGAGCTAAGCAGGTTGGTGGACTTCGTGAGCACCAAGGAGGAGAACCACGGCACGTTCATCGCGGACCGCGTGAAGGCCTACTATCAAGCTGGCCAGACGGAGATGGTTTGCGCGGGGCCACCGCCAGAGTACGCGGCAATCCTTGCGGAGCTGAGGGGGGGGGGGGGGGGGCGCCGACATCGCGTGGGCTCTAGACAAGATGCTACCAGGACAGCGCGTGGCAGGCGCTGGGTGGGTAGACAAGCTGGCGCGGATGCTGAATGTCGAAGGCTTCGAGCGATGCGATTGCCAGCCGCAGCTCTACTACCGCAGGGGGAAGGAGGTCCTGATCGAGGTTCGCATGAGCGACTTCCACGGAGAGGGGCGAGTGGCGAACCTAGACGGGGTGATCGAGAGATTGCGGGGGGTTTTCGACCTGAAGGCGACGGACGTCACCAGGCAGGGGCGCTACTCGCACCTCAAGCGCGACAGGCTGAGGCCTGTGGGCGGCGATGTGATGCTGCGGCCAAACGTGAATGTCAAGCGCATCGAGGACCTGATCTACGTGATGGGCATGGAGAATGCAAAGCCAGCGAAGGTTCCCAGCTGGGCGGAGGAGGACCCAGCGCGGTGTCCCGACTTGGACGAGGTGGAGAGGGCGAAGCTTCGCACTGGTGTGGGGATCCCCGACAGAGCGGACGTCCGGAGGGGCGTGCAGCTGCTTGCGCGGAACTTGAGCCAGCCGACGGAGTTCGACAGGAAGCGCTAGGTGAATTTGGTGCGGCACCTGGAAGGGGACCAAGACCCACGCAGCGCAGTTGCAGAAGCCGGGGGCGAGCGAGCCTAGAGAGGTGAAGTTGCAGCTGTTCACGGACGCGCACTTCGCCGCATGCAAGTCTACGAGGAGAGCGATGACTTGCGGGATCGCGAAGCTGGACGGGGTGCACCTCGCGGCGTTCGCGCGACGGCAAGGAGTCCAGACCACGTCATCAGGGGGGTGCGTTCTACGGAGCGACCTCAGTGGTGATGGGCGGGAAGCTCGTCAAGAACGTGCTGGAGCTGTTGGGCTACAAGGTGACCTGGAAGCTCGGGGTCGCTGCGAAGGCAATGATCAATCGTGAGGGCGTGGGCAAGGTGAAGCGCCTTGACGTCAGGGCGCTGTGGGTCCAGTGGGAGCGGAAGGTGCGCGGGCTCGACGTGAAGAAGGAGAGTGGCGATAATAACGTAGCCGACTTGGGCGCGAAGGCTCTTCCCGCGGCGCGATTTGAGTACCTGCGCGAGTTGGCGGGCATCGTGGACTACGCGGAGATGGACAAGCACAAGGAGCTGGAGGCGTGCTCGGTGGCAGCGAGCGCGAGCTGGGCGAGGCAAGGCCTACTGGCCACCTTGCTGGCGCAGGCGGCGATGCCGAGCTTGGCTACGACCTCGTGCGAGCTGGACGCGCGCAGCACTAAGCCCACCAGCCTGGTGGGAGCGAGGTTCCACTACTGGATCGACGACCACCTGTGGATGCTCATCCTGGCGATCGCACTGATGGTCTTCGCGATAGGCCTGGTGTGTGGATGGCAATGCAGGGCGAGGCAGACCTCAGCAGATACGGTAAAGTACACGGAAAAGCCGATGATGACGATTGCTGACACGAGCAGCGGAGACAAGGTAAAGCACACGGGGAAGCCGATTCTGATTGTTGGTCCGAGCAGCAAGGACAAGGTAAAGCGCACGGAGAAGCCGAACACGGCGGAGGCGCAGAGCCAGGCGCCGTGCACGTACACATGGAAGCAGGCGACGCCGAGGTCCGTGCCGTTTTCGAGGCGAACCGCGGATAAGTTCAAGCTTGAGGCCAAAGGCCAAAGAGAAGAAGGTTGTCGCCTCGCCGAAGCGCCGTGGGGGCGTGCATGCTCCAGTGAGTGTACGGCCCCACTTAGAGGCTTTCAGATGCGGCTGGGGCCCACAGGGGCCCTGGCGTGAGTGGCGGGCCCAAAGAGGCCCGAGCGAGCGGCCTTTCGAGGCCAGACACAGCGGGAGAGGGGGGTCCTCCCCACAGCCAGTGAGGCTCGAGAGAAATGTGCTGCCTGCCTGATCATCTCAGTCGGATTTCTCGGATCGGCTCTGGACCCCCATCCCTGGTGCGCGCCGCGCGGACCTCCGAGTTTTTATGCTTATGTCATTGTTCGTTGCACTATTACAGTCAGTTCGCATAGAAATCCAGGGTGGGCAACTTTCCAAGGCTACCCTTGCGTCCTTGCCCCTTCGGCCAATTCTTGTTCGCTCTCGCTGGCCGCTCTCCGCCTTCAGTGTGCCGACGTGGCCTTTAAAGGATTTTTGTTTCCTTCTCGTGCGTCCTTATGATGCAGAATGACCGTATTTCATCCGCGCTCCCCGGCTATGGGGGGGGGGGGCGGGCCCCCCCGGGTACCTGCGTCCCTGCGTCTGCGGCCCATTGGGGCACTGCTTTGCCTGACGAGGCTTCCCATTCAGAAGCGCCTCTCACCCGGGGAGGGACCTGCATCGTTGCCGCGTCCTGGAACGCCGGAAGTTAACAGGCACCGAGCACGTTGCAGCCCCCTGAAGGCCCGAGAGGGGCTACAGATACTCCACAACCGCTGTCATCTGATCCTCGGGTTCAATCCCGACCTGGCTCGCGCGCGCCGCCCCTTGCCTTCCGACCCCCAGCGTGGTTTGTGTGTCGCAGTCGGCCTGATGCCGACCTACGGCCTCTCTTCCGTTGGGGTCGTCGCCGCCCGCCTGGGCGACGGGCTCCTGCACGGCGGCGGTGCCCCAGAGGCTGTGCGCGGCCACCACCCCCAGCACCTCACGGGCTGCCTCGCGCGCTTCCCGATCTGCGGGCCCAAGGCGTCGCGCGGCCGCAGTGGGCACGCCCAGGACTTCAAGGAGCTCGGGTGGCCGGCAAGCGGGGGCAGCAGCGAGTCAACCGACAGTGCGGGAGCCGCGGCGGTGTACCAGGGGCGCGCGTCGCACCCGAAACTCGGCAAGAGCATCCCCTTGCAGATCGAGCTCCTCTGGGCCGACGACTGCGCGAGCGGCACGTGGTTCATGTTCGGCAAGAGCGTGGAGGCCGTGGCCGAGAGGAGCAGCGAGTGGCACCTCGTCGTGCGCTCCGCCGGCAGCGTCAGGTGCGCCACGCTCCGGGGGAGGTGGGCCTCGCACAACCGGGTCGTCGGCGAGTTCTTTTTCGGCGCCGACGGCCGCGGCACCTTTGAACTCCTGCAGAGCCCACCGGTGTTCGGAGGTTGACAGACCTCCTACCCTGCCACGTCGATTGGCGAATTGGCCGTTTTCGGTTCGCGAGAGGGCGCCGAGGCCGTTATTTTGCAGGTCCAGGTCCGTCGGTTTCGGTCCCAGGCCGTTTTCACTAGAGGGTGGTCTACGACAGGGAGGTCTGTCCACCGCCGAGGTGTCCCTGTCGCCCGAGTGCGCCCGCTGGGGCTGGGGCATGTGCAGCCGCACCTCGTCGGCTGCGAGCTGCCTGGCCGCCCTGGGCGCGCCGGAGCAGGAGCCAGCCGTGGCTGGCTCGGGGCCGCCGGCGGAGACCAAGGCCGCCGCGGGGCAGCCCCCCGTCACGAGGGCCGCCGCGGGGAAGCAGGTGATCTTCACCACCGAGGCGCAGCTCGCAGAGGCGCTCGCCGAGGTGCTAAAGACGCACCCGAATGGCATCGATCTGGCGCACCTCAAGACGACCATCCGCAAGGGCTCGGGCCTGTGGGTCTCCGAGTCGTTCCTCGGCTACAAGAAGTTGACCGACCTCATCAAGTCCCCAATCATGTCGTCTGCGTGCCGGATCCAGAACTCTGGCAGCTTCAGCCGCGTGTTTGCGTTCGCGGCGGCAGCTGGCAAGGCGAGCTACGACGCGCCAGAAGTGAAGCCCGCTCGCAGTGTGTACTCTCCGCGTGCTTTTAGCCTGTGAGCGAATTTGATTTCATGGCATGGCTTCGCTACATGGAGCCTCCGAGTGGCAACCGCAAGCGCCAGCGGCAGCAGTTCAATTTTTTGCGCAGAGCATGGCGACACCGAGGAGAACCCTCGGCATCTCCCTCTCCTATAGTTCACCCTCCCCGCCTCACTTCCGCTGGAGCGGCTCACCAACCTTCATGCTGGCTCGAGACAGCATTGAGTCCCAACTTGAGTGTGCACCCTCCAGGGCATTTTTCCTTGTGGTGGCTGGCGGGGCGGACTGGAGCCGCCTGCATTGTGCCCACACTCTCTCTATCCCACCACGCTTTCCGCCTCTGCCTCCACGTGTATGGTGTCAGCTCGGCGCGGTGACCTTGGGAGTGGCATGGGTCTCGGGGGAGGGATCGGGGGAGAGGGACCAGCGAGTGGCGTAGAGGCACAGGAGAGGAACCTTCTGTGGCCCAGCGACGTTTCACAGCACAGTCCGAGCGGCTGCGCAATGATGGTGGAGGTGGTGGTGACGATGAGGATGAGGATGATGACGATTTTGATGATGATGATGATGATGATGATGATGATGATGATGATGATGATGAGTATGATGATGATGATGATGATGATGATGATGATGATGATGATGATGATGATGATGATGATGATGATGATGATGATGATGATGATGATGATGATGAGGAGGAGGGAGGAGGAGGAGGAGGAGGAGGATGATGGTGGTGGTGGTGATGATGATGATGATGAGGAGGAGAAGGAGGAGGAGGAGAGAGGAGGAGGATGATGAGGATGAGGATGAGGATGAGGATGACGATGGTGTTGGTGGTGGTGGTGGTGGTGATTGTGATGGTGATGGTGATGGTGATGGTGATGATGAGGAGGAGGATGACGGTGGTGGTGGCGATGGTGATGGTGATGGTGATGGTGATGCTTATGGTGATGCTGCTGATGATTATGATGCTGCTGCTGCTGCTGATGATGATGATGATGATGATGATGATGATGATGATGATGATGATGATGATGATGATGATGATGATGATGAGTATGATGATGATGATGATGATGATGATGATGATGATGATGATGATGATGAGGATGAGGATGAGGATGAGGATGAGGATGAGGATGAGGATGAGGATGAGGATGAGGATGAGGATGAGGATGAGGATGATGATGCTGTTGTTGATGTTGACGATGGGTATGAGGATTGTCATGCATACATTTCTGCTGCTAGGACGACTCCCGCCATGTGGCGTCCAGGGTCAGGCTCGAGTGACTTCCGCTGGAGCGGCTCACCAACCTTCATGCTGGCTTGAGACAGCATTGAGTCCCAACTTGAGTGTGCACCCTCCATGGCATTTTTCTTGTGGTGGCTGGCGGGGCGGACTGGAGCCGCCTGCACTGCGCCCACCCTCTCCCTATCCCACCACGCTCTCCGCCTCTGCCTCCACGTGTATGGTGACAGCTCGGCACAGTGACCTTGGGAGTGGCATGGGTCTCGGGGGAAGAGGGACCGGCGAGTGGCGTAGAGGCACGGGAGAGGAGCCTTCTGTGGCCTAGCGACGTTTCACAGCACAGTCCGGGCGGCTGCGCAATGATGGTGGTGGTGGTGGTGGTGACGATGAGGGTGATGTTGATGATGATGATGATGATGATGATGATGATGATGATGATGATGATGATGATGATGACGATGATGATGATGATGATGATGATGATGCGATGATCATGATGATGATGATGCTGATGATGATGATGATGATGATGTTGTTGATGACGATGATGAAGAGGAGGAGGAGGAGAGAGGAGGAGGATGATGATAAGGATAAGGATGAGGATGACGATGGTGTTGGTGGTGGTGGTGATTGTAATGGTGATGGTGATGGTGATGGTGATGGTGATGATGAGGAGGATGACGGTGGTGGTGGTGATGGTGATGCTGATGATGATGCTGATGATGATGCTGATGTTAATATGATGATGATGACGATGGTGATGATGATGATGATGATGATGATGATGATGATGATGCTGATGATGATGCTGACGATGATGCTGATGATGATGATGATGATCATGATGCTGATGATGATGATGATGATGATGATGATGATGATGATGATGATGATGATGATGATGATGATAAGGATGATGAGGATGAGGATGAGGATGAGGATGATGATGCGGTTGTTGGTGTTGACGATGGGTATGAGGATAGTCATGCATAAATTTCTGCTGCTAGGACGACTCCCGCCATGTGGCGTCCAGGGTCAGGCTCGAGGGACTTTGCTACCCTTGCTGAGCGCTGTAGCCTAGGATGCTGAGCGCGGCGGGCCTAATCATCGTGCCCCAACCAACCACCATCGATTTGACAAACGTCTCGTGCCGATGGGAAGCATATTATGCATCGTGGGTCTACTCTGGTCTTCCTCCGCCTCTTCCTCCTCCTGCTCCTCCTCTTCATCCTCCTCACAGTTTCGACCTCGATCTGCTCCGCTCCCGTGCCTTGTTTTTTGGTTTTAACCCTGCTGTGGTGAAGCCGACGTGCAATTATTGGATGGGCCTAAATTTCTCACGTTTGTGTGCTGAGTATGGGACTTCTCCGTGCCTCGCCAAATCGGGGCTGCTCGCGGGAGACAGGTTCAACGATGTGTTTGTCAGAGTTTACAGTATCAAAGCTTTATGTCAGTTTTCGTTGGACCATCCCCAAGTCCAATGGCCATCTTACGCGCATGACGGTTCGCTCACTACCGAAGGTGACGGCGAGATTGAAGTTATAGATAGGATGCCCAAGGTTGCCGCGGCCATGCTCATCACTTGTTCGCGACTACTTGGGTGTGCAGTTGCAAGCGGATCGAGCTCACCACGTTTTCCTTTTCTTTGCCAGCAAGCTGCTCGGCGGCATGGCGTCTCCGCACGCTCAGTGGAAGCGAAATCGATGTTTCCAGCCAGTGTCTCAAAGGCATCGTATTATGGAAAGGTACCGCGAACGTTTACCCCGCCAGCAAGGTCGTATTGGTGAGATCTATGTTGCTGGTGTGGCCCCTGCGGCCACTTTCTGGTCTGCCATTGTTTGGATGAGTGGTAGCGACTTACCGCAAGCCCAGCGCGTGATGTTGCCGTACAACCCCCCTGCCACCGTGGCGTTTCGTTTCATGCGAAGTTGGCTTCTGCGGGGACTCCGTGTGGAGATCGAGCGCGGCCCCTGCTTTACATTGGGTGCACGTGGTTCGGTTGGCCTTCACCTCCCCCGCCACCTCCCTCTATCACGTGAGAGATGTCTGTCAAAGGTGACGGGTTGTTATTTTCAGCGAAGGGGTCATTGGGAAGCGCTCTCGAGGGCCTATCCACATAACGCATCTGTCTCTCACTAAGATCGTTTCGCGCTCCACGTCGGCGCTGACGTGAACGGACGATGCTGATCGAGTTGTTCATTTAGGTTTCAGTTTGCCTTCCCTGGTGGCCAAGCTTCTAATGTTCGGGGTCAGAGGCGCCATGAAAGAGCTCTTACGGAACTCATGTCGGCCTTTGTGGGGCAGCGGGTTTGCACCGAGCCTTTCGTCCATCTCATGGGTCCCCCGTCTCGCAATCGGAGCCCCAGGGAGAAGTACCTGGCTACTGCGGCCCGGGCTAAGGCTGCAGGCAACGTCAGCGACGGCAAGTGTCCGCTGCGCGGCGAGCCTGACGGGGTGAAACACCGCATCTGGTACTGCAACCACCACAATGCTGCCCAGGCTCGCACGGAGGCAGCTGAAGACCATCCTTCATGGCTTGAGGAGGCCGTAGAGAGCGAGGGTCGCTGCTTCTGGGACGAGCTCAAGTGGGACCACCCTTGGCCAAAATTGCCTCCCACCGAGCGACTCCCCCGAACCCATCTTGTTTGACCCTCAGCACGAGGTCATTCCATGGGGCTCCCTGGATCTCCGAGGATTGGAAATTTGCACTGATGGGTCTTGCGCGAGACACGTTATTCGGGATGTGTCGCGGGCGGTCCATGTCCTCGTCTTTCTCGGTACTAAAGGATCTACGGTGGCCCATGCTAAAGGCACCGTGTGGGACGTGTTGCAGCAGATTCCGCAGGCGGTCAAGCATCAGGCTATTGGCTATGGCACCCGTCCCAACGTATGTTGCAGACAGCGGTGAGAGATACCCTGACTGTGCTACCGTCACTACATTGTGTACCACCACCCGTCCACATCAGGTTGCTAACAGAGGCCACCATGCTGGCATCCGCCCTCGTGCCTCCTAAGCTCCCTGTCAAGAAGTTAGCGAGCAATTCGACACACAAATGTCCGCGGCCGTTGTAACGACCAAGGTTTTTGGGTGTTTTCTCTGTCGGGAGATTCGAAAACCAGCGAGGGGCTAGATTTAAGTTTCTTCGGCCTGGAGGCTGGCGCCATCGGGGAACTCTTGTCGGGGGCCGCGCTCGCTACATGAGCTGCCTGCTCTTTTGGCGTGATCCTGGGGCTCGCCCAACGGTCGGGCGCCATGGTCGTAGTAACGCTTGGCATGGGCTGTTCGACTTTTGCAAATCCACACCCTAGCTCAGACGGTGGTCCCGCATAGTGATAAGGCTGTCATTGTGCTTTTCGGTCTTACGTGCGGGGCCTATTCCTCGCGGCGCTGTTTCAAGCTAGGTCAGGCATGCACGGGACGTAAGTTGGCGGGTGCTACGTGTACGCTGCAACGCATCATGGCAGGCTTGCACCCTCACTAAAGGAATGTTGAGGACAGTCTGTCGCAATCCTCTCCCCGTGATGTCAATTACCTGTGGTATGCTGCTACCCTCACCCGTCCTTCTGAGGTCGCCGCGCCTGCTTCAGGGACGAAGCTCTTAGTGCAATCCCTCATGGATGCATGCCCTCCCGGCACGCACTCAAGCAACAGAGGAGGCAGCACACGCTGTCGCTAGCACAGGTCATGAAATTGCAGGCGCTTCTGGTGTACAGGGTGGCCGAGGCGGCACTGTACCTTTGAGTGGCGCTTCCACCGTTGTGGAGGAGCATGTGCCTTCCGAGTATCTCGTCGCTGCCCCCATGCATGTTGTGAAGAGTGCACTCCCCTGCCCCTCTGCCGCCCGTGCCACCATGTGTGTATATTGTACACGCTTGTCTTGTTTTGTGGCATGCACGCTGCCCGCCGCTGTTTTGGCCCTAGTCCTAGGGCCCTGGGACGCACCCGCAGTTGGACTGCCGCGCGGTCTTTGCTGAAAACAACTGCACTGACATTGGTAGCGGAGCTGGTATGCTCCAGCGGACGCACTGCGTGCTCTGCTTCGGTGGTTGTGACCACCCGCGTGGGCCGCCATGGCCGCCAGCCAAGACGGCTCAGACATGGAGGCTGCGTCCTCCGCAGGCACAGGCCCCCCGGACCTGCATGCAGTCCTGCGCGTGATGGCCGAGACCCAGCGGGAGCTCTTGGCCTTGCATCGGGATCGTGGCGACGGCGGTCCCAGACGTACACGTCTACTGCTGTCGCAGGTGAGGCTCCCAGAGTTCGATGGTGGAGTCGGTACGAGTACTAAGAAGTACCGAGGGTGGCGCAAGGAGGTTGAAGTCATCCGCAACCTCAATCAGCTCTCAGACGTGGAGCTGGGCCTGATCATCTACAGTCAAGTGACAGGTCGAGCCAAAGAGCTCATCGAGGTGCTTGACGCGTCGGACCTCCGACGCGAGGAGACGCTCGAGACCATCTTTGCTATCTACGACGACGCCTTCGAGAAGATGGATCACGAGCGCCTCGATCAGGTGCATCAGGATTGGGAGCGAGCACACCGTCGAACTGGGCAGCCGATCGTGGATTGGACCACGTACCTGCGCAAGAAGCGCATGGAGTTGCAGCTCGAGGATCCCACATCAGCGATCAGCGATCGCGCATTGGCAAGCAAGATGCTTCGTGGCGCTGGGCTGTCGCAGAAGGAGCGAGCGCAGGTGCTCTTCAACTGTGGCGGCATCTACGACTCGAAGCGGATGGAGGTCGTGCTGAAGGCAGCCTATTCGAAGGTGCACGACACCGAGAAGCGCTCAGTGCTCCCTCGCCGCTCGCCGTTTGCGGCGCAGCGTGAGCACGGGCGCTCCTCTGGGAGTTCGGGCGGTCGCTATCCGCACCCTCCCATGGCTCGCAGGCCATGCGTGCTGCGAGGACGCCCTGGCCAGCACGTACACGAGGTAGAGAACGGCGAAGATTACGATGAACACCACGGCGACCTCGAGGAGGCGCAGCATGACGAAGAGGAAGCAGACGACCAGGACGACGGAGACCATGGAGGGGCCGAGGGCCCCCTCTTCGAGGACGGCGCTGAGGTCGATGAGGAGCTGGCGTCGGACAACGACGGGCCTGGCGACGAGGAGTGCGAGGCACCGGAGGATCTTCAGGAAGCGTTCTTGGCCGGCTGGAGGGCCAAGCAGAAGACGGCGGTACAGCGTCAGAAGCGCGGGTTCGTTGCTCCTCGGCAGCGGGGCCCCAAGAAGACCAACGCCAGCGGTTCCTTCCAGGCTGGTCGGAAGCCGACAGACCAGCGCAAGGCTAACAGCCGGTGTGCTGACTGCGATCAGCCTGGCCACTGGCGTGGCGACCCAGAGTGCCCCGAGGTGAAGAGTGGCGAGCGCGAGCCGTGCAACAAGATCGGGCCTAAGAATGGCCAGCCAGCGTCGCCCAACCAGCGGAGCTCTGTGAAGCCACCGGCGCCGAGGCAGGTGCATGGACCGATCGTCCACTGGGTTGGCATGGCAGGCAGTGCCGAGGAGCGTCGTGGCCGCGCTCCATGGCGCCGTGCTCCCCAGTCGGTGCCTGCCCAGAGGCATCCAGTGGAGGGTCGAGCGGACGCGCCGGAGCGGATCATTATGCACCCCAGGCCCAAGAGCATGCCTGCGCCGAGCCTACGCCGGGCCGCCGACGATGGCCCAGGGCCCGCACAGAGCAGTGATGAACGTGCGCGCGCCCGTGCCAGGCGCGGGGAGGATCAGGAGGACGAGGATGCATGCGTGCGTTGTCATCGCATTCTGGCCAACGCCCACCCAAAGGGGCACAGCGTGGAGTTGGAGTTTCCTGACCTTGCCGCGGTCCATCACATCGTGGAGCGCGTGACGAACAAGAAGCCTATCTTCTTCAAGCAAGGCCGCTTCGAGAGCCTCGACTTCGTCCAGGGTCGGCTTGTGCGCCTGCAGCTGACCACATCGAGGCCTTGTACGGCGGCTGAGGTGGATCTCGACGAGATCACGGCAACTATGTTCAAGATTGTGATGGGCGGCAATCGTGATACCAAGCCCCGTGGCGATCGGCGCGGTGAAGGCGGGGGTCGGGGCACCAAGCAGCGTGAAGATCATCATCGAGATCGTCGTGACGACCGCCAGCGTGATCAGGGAGCTGTTCTTCGCGAGCCTCGTGCCCCTCCTCCGCCCGAGGCGGAGGCTTCCTCGCGTTCAAGGTCGCGGAGTACACCAGAAGGCCGCGGTGTGAAGAAAGAGAAGCGGAGTCCACCAGAAGACCGCGGTGAGAAGGAAGAAAAGGAAGAAAAGAAAGAGAAGAAGAAGAAGGCGAGGAGCAGCAAAGAAGAGAAGAAAGAGAGAAAGAAGGCAAGAAG